CTTGGTAGCCCAGGCTGGCCTCGAACTCACAGAGATCCGCCTGGCTCTGCCTCCCGAGTGCTGGGATTAAAGGCGTGCGCCACCACCTCCCGGCTTTAACGCTTCTTTCTTATGTGTGTGCACACATGTGTGGGTACGTGTGTGTGTGTGTGGAGGGGTGCACATGTTTATGTGTATGCGTATGTGGAGACCAGAAATTATAGTCAGATTCATTCACTCCTCCATCATTCCCTTCTTTTTTAAGATGAGGTCTCTCACTGAACCTGGAGCTTACCAGTTCTGCTAGACTGGCTAGCAGATCACTAGGATGCTTCTCTAGTTCCTCCCAGCACTGGGACTATAGACACACACCACCATGCCCAACTTTGTATGTAGATGCCAAGGCTCCACACGCAAATCCTGAGATGGTAACTCATTGGGTAGAGTGACTGTCAAATATGCATGAGACGGGGGTTTGATCCCCAGCATGCAAAACCCAGGTGTGGCAGCATATACCTGTAATCCTAACACTAGCTCAGGAGTTGGAGGCAGGAGGATCAGAAGTTCTAGGTCATCCATAACTACATAGAGAACTCAAAGCTAATCTGAGACTCTGTCTCAAAAAATAAAATAAAAAATAATTACATAGCAACCAATGTTGGGTCCTTGGGCTCAGACAGTAAACACTTTACACACTGGACTGTCGTCTTGGGCTCTAACTCTAAGTATTCTTTTTATATTAGCTTGACTGTAGCCATCATTTCACAATGTACACATGTACTGTGTCACCAATTGTCCAAACACATACACATATGTCTAAACACACCTTTTATTTGTTTTAATTCTGAGCAGCAGATAGAGCTAAGGATGGTAACCTGGCTGGTCAGCCTTAGAAAGTCAGTTGATGGATGCAAGGCAAGTTGCATGCCAACTGTAAACCTCCTTAGCCTTCCTTGCATGTGAGTCCTCCAATGCACAGGCAGACACCACCAGTCCTCCAAAGCATATAATCAGCCACTCAGGGTTCTTCTGAGGTATGTGTTGCCCATCTCCTCCCTCTCACCCCATCTTAGTTACTTTTCTATTGCTGTGAAGAAATGCCAGGATGAAGGTAACTTATAAAAGGAAACATTTAGGGGGCTGGAGAGGTGGCTCAGAGGTTAAGAGCACTGGCTGCTCTTCCAGAGGTCCTGAGCTCAATTCCCAGCACCCACACGGTGGCTCACAACCATGTGGTTTGTCTGTTTTATTTGTTAACCATATTTCAATAAAACGAGGAAAAATGGCATCCAGAGAAAAATATCACTAGTTCATTGTAAATTATATCATCTCTCCCAACACACATCAAAATTGCTGGTATTACTGCTACCTAAGAATTTAAAAATAGCCCATTAACTCTTTGTGTGTGTGTGTGTGTGTGTGTGTGTGTGTGTGTGTGTGTGTGTGTGTGTGTGTTCTTTTGTTTTTCCAGACAAGGTTTCTCTGTGTAGCTTTGGTGCCTATCCTGGATCTCGCTCTATAGACCAGGCTGGCCTCGAGCTCACACAGATCCGCCTGGCTCTACTTCCTGAGTGCTGGGATTAAAGGTGTGTGCCACCACCGCCCGGACTTAATTAACCACATACATTGCTCACAAGTTTTCTTCACACGATTAGACACTCTCATGTCTCCTAATAAACCACTATTTCCCACAGATGTGAAGTTGCCTCGGGTTTTTGTTTGTTTTGTTTTTTGTACTTGACAACATAAAGGATGAGGGCCAGCAGTGTGCTTCTTCAAGCAGCAGAAGGGTGCCAACTGTAAGCTCAAGTGTGGGCCTAGAGCAACCACAAGCCACTTGGATAATATCATCAGGAACCCAGCACTTAAAAAGGAAATGAAAACTGTTGATGATTCAGTAAACTTATTCCTGGAAATAATAAAAGACAATAAGCTGCACACTGGCCTCGGAGCACATAACATAAATATTGAATTTGGAACATGACCAACCTCTAACCCAACTCTGGCGGAAACTATGGTTCCCTTTGCTGTGCACATCTGTGTTTGGCACAATTTCAAAGCAGTTTCCTTTGCTAAGTATCCACAAGGTGCCTTAGGAAAATAGCTTAGGAGACTCTAAGGATCTTGGTCACCCTTGCAGTGGTGTCCTGAGGTGTCCCCTTGGAGTTAGATTGAGAATTTGTTGAGATCGGAGACTTTTTGAGCACTGGAAGGCTGGCATGACTAGATTCTCCTCCTCGGGCCCAGTTTCAGGGACTCCTGTCACTCAGAAGTAACCGCTCAATAGATCCTTTCTGTTGCTCAAACAGCATGCTTCCCTTTGAGTTTACCAGAGAGCAGCCTGGTGCTTGGCCAAGCAAGCAGTTATGCAAAGCAGGTGTCTTATATAGTAAAAGTGTCTATATAACACATTTTAAGAACTTTTAAGATCAGTTTTCAAAGTTCAGGCTAACATGCAGCAGGAGTCTAGAAGTAATGCCAGCCTTATCATTTTGGGAAACCAGTGATGCCTCACAGTTGAGGGCAATGACCTGGGTAGCCGAGGGGGTAGACAGTAAAACTCCAGCCAGTTGAAAACTGAGCAGCAGATAGAGCTAAGGATGGTAACCTGGCTGGTCAGCCTTAGAAAGCCAGTTGATGGATGCAGGGCAAGTTACATGCCAACTGCAAACCTCCTTAGCCTTCCTTGCATGTGAGTCCTCCAATGCACAGCCAGACACCACCAGTCCTCCAAAGCATATAATCAGCCACTCAGGGTTCTTCTGAGGTATGTGTTGCCCATCTCCTCCCTCTCAACCCATCTTAGTTACTTTTCTATTGCTCTGAAGAAATGCCATGATGAAGGCAACTTATAAAAGGAAATGTTTATTGGAGCTCATGGTTCCTGAGGGCTAGAATCCATGATCATCATGGCGGGGAGCATGGCAGCAGGCAGGAAAGCGTGGTGCTGGAGCATTGGCTGAGAGCTTACATCCTGATTCACAGTTACCAAGTGGGGTGGGGGTGGGGGATTAGCTAACTGGAACAGTGTGTGGGGGGGTGTCCTTTGAAACCTCAAAATCCACCCTCACATACCTCCTCCACCAGGCCACACTCCCGAGTTCTTTCCAAACAGTTCCACCAAATGGGAAATGTGTATTCGAGTGTGTGGGTCAGTGGGGGTCATTCTCGCTCAGACCACCACACACCTGATCCAAGAAAGGCAGATTGCTTCCTTCCCTCGCTTCCTTTCTTTCACCTGCTTCAGGAAGAAGCCCGATCTCACTGATGCTCCCTCAGGAGGATCTCCAGTGCGTGTTCCAGCCCAGCACCTGGCTCCTACCTTGAAGGACCTCTCTACAGCGGTGTGCAGAGGTGAGGTGGAGCAGTAGCTGGAGCTGGAGTTTTCTCCAGTCCTGCCTGGCCCACAGTCAGGACAAATCTCTCACCCGCCAGTCCCGCAGCTGCTTAGACCCAACCAAGTAAACACACAGAGACTTATATTGCTTAAAAACAATATGGCCATGGCAGGCTTCTTGTTATCTAGTTCTTATATCTCAAATTAACCAATTTCTATTCGTCTATACCTTGCCACGTGGCTGGTGGCTTACTGGTATCTTACATGTTGCTACTCATGGCGGCGGGTGGCAGCATCTTTCTGGCTCAGCCTTCCACTTCCCAGAATTCTCCTCTCTCCTTGTCTCACCTATACTTCCTGCCTGGCTACTGGCCAATCAGTGTTTTATTTATTAACCAATTAGAGCAATACATTTAACATACAGAACATCCCACAGCAAGTACCAATTTCCGTATTGAAGAAGAAGCCAGTTGCATGCAGAAATGAGGGCACAGGAGGCTAGAAAAGGAGCCCAGTGGGTAAGAGCACCTGCTGTTCTGGCAGAGGACCCAGGTTCGATTCCCAGCACTCATGGTGGCTCATAAGCATCCATATTTCCAGGTCCAGGGGATCTGATATCCTCTTCTGAACAGTATGAGCACCAGGCACATAGGTGGTACACATACATACATGCAAGCCAAACACTCAGATACATAAAACAAAAAGTAAATTTTAAAAGTTCTTTAATGAACTGAGGGAAAGGGGAGTAGATACCAGAGATGTGTCACACATGGAGATGAGGAGGTGGGATGTCTGTCGATCAGGATGGGGACTGACGTTTTTGCCTTGGTGGGGTCCCTCCAGTCTCTTGTCTATCCAGGGAACTGTTTCAGCTGCACCAAGCTCAGACTGACTTTCAGACCAGATGGATATGAGTCAGTTTGCAGCGCACATAAAAATAAAGTAAGGATGTTCAGTGCATGTTCAGTGCAAATCACGGGACACCGAGTCAGCCTCAGGAAGCAACTCGAAGCCTCTGGAGGCCAAGTCGAGGGACGACGGTCAGTTTTCAAGGCTGCTAGTCACATGTGTTCTCTCTTACAGGGCTGCATGCAGTGGGGACATCTGCCCTGTCCCCTCCAGCCAGCACAGCATGCGCAGGAAGCGTACACTGCCCATTCTCTATTTTCTAATGGCCTCTGTTCTAGATCCATAACAATAATTCTCCTTTTACAGGTCCTGCCCTTCTTTAGGAAGAAGACAGTGTGATGGAGAGTCCTCTGTTATGCCCCCAAGCCATCAGGGCACTTGAGCTCATCTGCTGCGCCCCAATTCTGGTGTTCATCTCTGTGACATCTCAACCCCCAGCGGCCATGTCAAGACAGCCCAGATTCACTCTGGTCTTCTAACCCTCCTCAAATCATTGGGTCCACCCTTCGCTGGAACTCATGGTGTTCTTGGATATAGGTATCGATGGCTTATGGTCCCCCCCATCCCCACCTCACCCCATCTCTGCACACAGCAACTGCCAAGATCTTATCTACAGAGTGCCGGAGCTAGGGAGAGCTCAAGAAAACTCACTGCCTCTCAAAGGTTTGGGTGTGCTTAAAGCTGATTGATATGTCAAGCCTCTGACCCAAGATAGCTCAGGGGTGTGGGAGTATTTGCGGGGGAGGTTGGGAAAGAACTACCTCCTCAGATCCACACACTCAGGCTCTCTTCAGTTTGTGGAGTTCCTGGACCGTGTATCCTGATTCAAATGCTAGGCAATAGGGCCCACGCTCCTGACCCGAAGAAATGGTGTGTGTGTGTGTGTGTGTGTGTGTGTGTGTGTGTGTGTGTGTGTGTGTGTCCCGCGCCTCAAATGGGTGATACTCAAGTGAATTCATCTGGTCAAAGGTGACAAAGTCACTTTACAGAACTAGGCTATGATGGTTATTGGCCATTTCCACCCCTGACAGCTATGGCAACTGCTCCCTTGCTAATCAAGAATCAAGCCCCGGGCTTGTACTATAAAATCAAGCCACTCTGACAAAAGAGCCCAGGAACTCTTACAGTAAAATTGAAAGTATAAACGAATCGATTTTCATGCAGGTTGCAGACTGAGTTCGAAGATGACCCTCATAAACCCTGTCCCCTGGAGTGCACAGCTTTCACAGAAAATGTCCCTGGGGTGTGATTTGCTTCTAACTAACAGAATTTGGCAAATGAAGGGATTTTTTTTTTTCAGATGTAATTGAGATTCCAAATTAGCTGATTTTCAGCTAGTTCAAGAGGAGACTTTGTGGGTCTCAGAGGATCTGACTTTGTCAGATGGAGAGATGAGCACCTCCCTTCCCTCAGAAGTTCGTCTTTCTAATTTGATGATGCAATCAGCTGCGTTGCAGAAGTCTACATGGCAACCAGCAGCTGGTTTCTAGGATCTGTAGAGACATCTAGGTCATGAGGTCAGCCTCTAGTTGACAGCCAGCAGAATGTTGGTGGCTCCATCCATACAGGCATGGGGACATGAAGTCTGCCAACAAGCTCAACAAACATGGAAGTCTTTCCAAGTCAACCCTCCAGATGCCAACGCGGCCCGGCCCTTGTCTTCATTGTGATTTGTGATATCCCAAGCAGAGGGTCATTCCTGGATTCCTGACCCCCCAAAACTGAGGGGCCAATAGTGCCGTAGACTTTGTTCTCTGTTCTTCTTTGCAAACATTTCACACACCCCAGATCTCATTCCCAAAGATGCAGAAATTATATTAAGATTTCTGAGTCAACACTGTGCATCAGGGAAAAATGTATCTGTCATGAGAAACTCTGGGAGAATTTCTGAAATTTCAAAAATAAAAAATTTAGGCCAAGCATAGTGCACGCCTTTAGTTCTAGCACTTGGGAGGCAGAGGCAGGGAAATCCCTGTAAGTCTGAGGCCAGCCTGGGCTACAATAAAAATTCCAAGCTAACCAGGGATACATAGTACACTGTGTCTCAAAAAAAAATTGTGTGTGTGTGTGTGTGTGTGTGTGTGTGTGTGTGTAAAGTTTAAATTAACATCTGGAATAGATACTTTCTTAGAAAAGCTGGGTTTTGCTCGTTTGGAAATATACTTTGACAGACTGTGCAATTGTTACTTAGGGCATACATTAGCAAAAACTAAAATATATCTGAATTCTTCTACATCTCAAGAACTCAGAGGTGTGATAGCCATTTTCACTAGTTCATTGTTATTATCCCCCAAAAACTATTTTTATTCACCCTCTTTTTTTATTCAAAAGAAAACATATCATATATACTGTCATATCTTGTTTTTCTCATTAAAACAATACATCTTGGAGATCTCTCTGTGTCCACACATAGACTTTCTTTGTCTTTTTTACTGCAGTATAATATGCCATTGTGTATGTAGAAGTGCATGGTTGATTCACCTAGTTTCTTCCACAGAGACATTTGGATTGTGTGTAGATTTTTTTCTGTTTCTATACACTATGCAAAAGGGAAGAGATGCATTGCTTATTTTGAACATGTGCAGATCAGTCCACAAGGACAGGTCCCAGATGAGACTTCTGGGGAGATGGATGAAGGGAGGTGGAACTATATACATACTGACACATTCCCTTCCCTAACAGTTGTGCCTCTTACTCCAACCACCAATGAGCTCCTGTTTCCCCACAGCCTCTACAAAGGAGGGATTATCAAACTGGGTTTCTCCTGGCTTGAAAGGTGAGAGAAGACATCTCACTATGAATGGTTTTTTGTTTTGTTTTTATTGTTTTTTATTTTTCATTTATTTATTTAATTTTGGATTTTTTTTTGAGACAGGGTTTCGCTGTGTGGTTTTGGAGTCTTTCCTGGAACTCACTCTGGAGCCCAGGCTGGCCTTGAACTCACAGAGATCCACCTGCCTCTGTCTCCTGAGTGCTGGGATTAAAGGCATGCACCACCACCGCCCGGCTTGTTTGTATTTTTTTAAAGTGATGTTTACAAATCATAGGACTATGGGAGGAATGGTGAGTGGAAAAACAAACTGTGGTAGATGTACATAATTGAGTATTATTCAGCACTTAAGAAGACTGGAAAGTCCTTTGTAAGAAAATGAATGAAAAGGAAGGTTATCATACTGAGAAAATTAAACCAGAATCAGAAAGAAAAGTGTTACATGTTTACTCTTGCATGTGGACACTAAAAATAAGGGAACTTGACCAAATCTTTATGTAAATAAATACCTATACGTGAATAAAAAGAGCTGAGAACACTCTGGGAGTAACAGAAAGAACAGTACTATGGTATTTTTTACGAATCTATTTTAAAGTTACAGCAGGTCATGCTGGCACAGGGCAGATCAATAGAACAAAAGAAGACATTTCAGATGACAAGGGAGGTCAATGAACATGTGGAAAACCATTGAGCAGCAATAAAAATCATGCCTCTCCACCCGCCTCATTCCTATGCCCAAATCAATTCCTACTAGATTAAAGATTTAATTTTTGAAACCTCGTGTTTTATTCAGTAGCTTGAGTTTGGAGGTCCTTCTGAGAACAGCAAGAAGGCAATTGGAAAGGAAAAGACTGGTGAATTGACTTTACAATATGAAGGATTTGTGTGATAATATGAAGCCCAAATGAAGTTTTAAAACAGTATTATTCTTTCTAAAAATGACAGAAGAAAGTTAACAAAACATATGACATGTAAGTGTGAAAATCACAATGATATAAAGAGCTTTTGGAGGGTGCATGTGGGGAGAGGGTGGTCCATGTGAGTGCAGGTTGCCATAGAGGCATCAGTTTCCCCTGGATCTGGAGTTACGGGTGATTGTGAACCACTAGAGATGTGGGTGCTGGGAACTGAGCTCGGGGACTCTGCAGGGGCAGAGTGTGCTCCTAACCATGGAGGCACCTCTCTACTCCATAAAGAGCTCGTTCAGTCAATAAAGGTAAGTATCTTATGGGGGGGAAAGGCAATGGTTCTCAAAGACCAAACTACAAAGGGCCAACCAGCATGCAAAACTGTCAAGAGATGCAAGCAAAACATGAAAACATTACTTTCCTCCTACCAGAGGCATGGAGGTGAATGGCCAACTCTGGCTGCCGGAGCTGAGGCTTTCTATTGGTGAAAGCCTAAACTGACTTCCTGTGGAACTTCCTCTGGAATGTAAAATACATTCATTCCAACAACCTTCCGTCTATGAATTTAATGTAAGTAATACCTGCATGCCTTTCTACAGACTTGTATAAGGAAAACTCTGGAAACACTCTAGATATATATGCATGGTAGAATACTATTAAATAAACCACAGTATATACTTGCAAGTCAGTCACTATTGACTATTGTCCAGGAAATACTGATGAGTGAAAGCACACCACAAAGTCTCATAGTCTGAATCCTTTTGGGGAACCTGAATGATGCTCTTAAAAGGTAGGGTTATCGAGACTCATATCACCATGGCCACCACAACTGACCCATTCTCTCTGTACCCAGAGCATACAATGCTCAGTGCTTTAAAAAATGGAAAGTTGGCAGGGTTAAGGGCACTTATTGCTCTTGTAGAGGACCCAAGTACGGTTCCCAGAAACCACACAGTGGCTCATAACCATCCGTAACTCCAGTTTCAGGGGATCTAATGCACTCTTCTGACATGTACATGGTTCATGTACATACATGCATGCAAAATACTTATACACACAAAATAAATCTTTAAAAATTGATTTGCTTAATTGTATCCTTCACTGCATAAACTCTCTCTCTCTCTCTCTCTCTCTCTCTCTCTCTCTCTCTCTCTCTCTCCCACTCCTTCCCTTCAGAAGCAAGCACCTGGCCTTAGATAATGACAGTCACAGGCAAAAGGTCTTTAGGGTGCTATGACCAGTGATTCATAGAAGAGAAGTAGTCGGAAGTTTCTCTGGTCCTGCCCGGCCAAACAAACAACAGAGAAGAAGCAGTGGTTTTGGGAAGGGAATGGAAAAATAGATGATCTTGAAAATCAGAATGAGACTTTAGCAATCAAAAGTGTTCACTGAGCATGCTTTTTACTTCCTCTCAAATCAATTTAAATATTAACTTTATTCCAAGCTGCTGTGGAATTTCAAAATAATCACCACTGCTCTGGGCTTATCTCAAATGCTCTGGTGTAATTCCAGGTCTAAATTCATTTGCTTGGCTGTTTGCATCCTTCTAGAAGTGATGGGTAGTGGTACTTAACTGTCAAAAGACAGGCACAGAGACTCATGGCTAGGTAACATAGAGACTAACAATAAGGCAATATAAAGTTGACATGATATTGTTTAGACATCTAAAGACATGTCTTTCCCAAAACCAAACAGGCAGTCTACAAATTACCTCAGTGGCTAATTCAATGGCTAGCAAGTGCCAGAGAAGAAAACTAGACTTACCTTAAAAGATTCAAGTCACAAATCTGTCTGTACCCAGTTCTCCCTTTAAAGTGGGGACCTGAAACCCCTGACCTTCCTACTACACAGAATCTAGTGAGGATGGAATGAAAGAGTGCATGCTGTACAGTTAAGGGTGTACCCACAAACTACACACACACACACACACACACACACACACACACACACACACACACACACACACACCAGCCCAAAGCAAGTGTGCTTGTACCATGACTGGGCAACACCTCAATTCTGATTCCCAATCTGGAAGATAATTTAAAGCCAGATTTAAGCTGTTCCCAAGGTTGGCCATGTGGGAAAGAACCTTCCTCCACCTCCACATTAGGATCTAAAATACATTAAAATGTATTTTTAAAATTACATTTATTTGGTATGCATGCATGTATGGGCATATGTGTGGGTATGCACATGCCACAGAGCACATGTGGTGTTCAGAGGACAATTTGCAAGAATCAGTTTTCTCCTTCCACTGTGTGGGTCCCAAGGCTTCATCTCAGGTCGTCAGGTTCAGCCACCTCTCCGACTCCAGCTCTAGCTTTAGTTAGAGGGACTCAGAAGCTAGATCAACACCATAGTCTACAGTTATCCCTTGTTCCTCTGCTAGTTAGGAATCCAGTTAAGCAGGGGAAAGTATTACGGTGTAAAGTTTAATGCTTTCTTCATGCTTATGGGAGAACAATTTAAGAACAGCAGGAAAATGAAGCGAGGTTTCTGCAAACGCCCACCACCTGCTCCCGTTGCGAGTGTGCATAGAGCGACTCCACATTATAATGTGGAACAATCAGAGGAAATAACAAAGCCTGTGTGTTTGCTATTTTTGCGGCTGTAAATGAACTGTTTTTACATTTCTATACTGTACTACAAGCTGAAGATTTACTTAACATTTCATCAGTTATTGAACCAGAAGCATTTTTTTTTTTAATTAGACAGGTGAGATTTCTTCCTTTCAGTGGTAATTATGCTGAGTCTCCATGTGGGCAACTATATCTTGCACAGTTATCCTAGAATGTAAAATTAGGGAGCTATAGAAATATTGGTCCTACGTAGCTCAAAGGACAGGGGACTAAAAAGGGCCAGCAGCTGGCATTGAATACACAAGTCTGGGTGTTGCTTCCCTCTGCTGTGGGATGTCTTTCTGTATGCTGTGAATATATGCTGTTACCACAGGTTAATAAGTAAGCTGCTTTGGCCTATGGCAAGGCAGCTCAGAGGCATGTGGGAAATCCAAGCAGAGATACAGGAAAGAGACAGGCAGGAAGAGGAGATGCCAGCCTGCCGCCCAAGGAGCAAGCAGACAAGGTAACACCATGGCCATGTGGCAACATAGAGATTAATAGAAATGGGTTAATTTAAGATGAAAGAGTTAGTTAGCAAGAAGCCTGAGCCACAGGCCATACAGAATGTAATTAATATAAACCTCTGTGTATTTACTTGGAACCAGGCGGGACACAGGACAACTTCTGTCTACACCTCTGCCTGACTTTTTCCAATTGAGTAGAACACAAGCCTCCACCCCACCAGGTTGGAACAGCTTTATGGGCAGTTTGATGGTGTTTTAGTCTGTTTTCTGCTGTTCTAACAGAATAGCTGAGTATCAGTGATCTATAAAGAACAAAGAAGCTATTAACTTGGGCTCGGGGTTCAGGAGCCTGGGAAGCCCAAATGCATCTTCACAACTTCTGATGGGGGCCTCTTGATGCTTCAAAGCACAGTGAGATGCAGAAAGGAAGGATGGACTCACGAGTACCTCGTGATCTTGTGGTAACTAAGCCAGTCTCAGAGGAAAGGAAAGAAGGGTACTAACACCTCCTAACATTCAATTCCGCTTGTAGAGGTCCCACCCCAATCAAATTTCACCAAGAATTTCGTGGAGATAAACCACATATAAATCATAGCACTGGGCAATTCAGCTATGACCTCCACCCACAAGCACCTCACAAGCCAGCAGGGAACACACCAGCCATGGCCCTGGAAGGATTGTCTGTCTTCCTCAGGACCACAGGAGTGCACAGTTCCAGGGCCACATTCTGTGTTCCACCCTGAGGTTGTACCCTGTAACCATGCCTCTTTTCTTCCCCCCACACTTTTAATTCTGTGGGTCTAGTGAAGGAGGGAGGGAGGGAGGGAGGGAGGGAGAGAGAAGCCACAGCCTTGGAGTTGAGCTGTGGTCAGAGAAGAAGCTGAAGACTACCAACTGGGTTTTCAAAGTCAAACCGAATGTACTCTACCTGTATAGTCACTATATGGACAGTCTGCCTGACCTGCCTATAGCTAATGTTTCATGGGCCATGACAGGTCTCAGTCACGGCTACTGGGGTGTAGATAAGGTATGTCAACCAACATTTCCCCTCCCCCACAACTCATGCAGATGCTGGCCATGAACTGGATGGATGCTGCCTTAACCCACTGTTTCTCCATTGCCACCAAACTCGAATTTCTCAAGGGAGGCAGAGAATAGTTCTGTAGATGGTGAGTAAGAAAAATCAAAACAAAACCAAGGGAAGAACGGTCAATATTACAAAATGTATTTTACTGGAAAGCGAACATTACTTTTGATCTCACATAACCACCTAGAATTGTATCAAAGCAATACTGCCCAACAGTCATGCAGGGAACCCGAGAGAGTGGCCAAGCTACTGTAGCTTCTAATTAGTTTATCAGTTAACTGTAGACAAGGGCTACTTCTAAAATGCTTGTAACATTTATTCATGTCAGTGTCCTTTATCCAATGACCTCTTTCAGAAAGCCAAATTCTAGCCCAGACTTAAGCCCATCTCATTACCTACTGTGAAAGAATGGATCCTGAACTAATTAGCAGGGGTACCTAAAGGAAGACCTGGAAGATTACATCCGGTGTCTACAGGAACTGACTCTCAGGCTCTGTGGCCTGTGGTCAGTATGGAAGCTGACTCTCAGGGCTGTGGCCTGTGTACGTCTGATGTCTATAGGAGCTGACGCTCAGGAATGTAGCCTGAGGCTGTGGTCAGTATTACACTGGGCATGAGTCTCAAGTTCACCGACACACACTGATCCTGAAAGCAGGAAGTACATAAACAGTTCCCAAGTTGTCTCCTTTTGGGAGATTCCACAGAGATGGCTGCCATCTTGAATTCAGGAATGAGGCCATGCTGGGATGGAGAAAGTTTCAGGGCTCTAGATGGGAGCCCCACAGTCCAGGCACCTGAGAAGCTGTAGGAACAACTGTTCCTCATCGAGGCAGTCTTCCCATGCAGTGCTCACCAGCCATCTAGACGTAGAGAGAAGGTACAAGTAAGTGCACACTCTGCTGTTTCTTCCCTGCGGGACCCGTGTGCAGCTCATACACATGTCCACAGGCAGTCAAGCTGCCTGGATCAGCCCGCCTGCTGGAGTGACCAGCCCGTCATCACTATCCCTGCTCTTCCTCGGGTCAGGAGGTCATCCCCTTCCTCTTCCCAGCTTTGAGGTTAGTCACACTGGCTACCTGCTGCCTGCACCCTGACCCTCCTCATGCCCAGCTCTTCTGCATGACTCCCACCCCAGCCTCCCCTCCATTCCACTCATTTTTCAAAAGTGACAGTCTCACATACCATACTGCTGAGAAGGACAGGAATGTGAGAATGGTCACAAAAGCCACCGAGCCCAGTCCAACCCCCACCATCTGCTGCGGTGTGAGGGACGAATCTGTGGGAAGAAACCACACGATGAGCCAGCCCGGAGCACATCCCATCACGGCCCTCCCAGGAGATCTACATCCAACTGTGAGCATTCTGTTTTAACCCAGAGCTGGGCTTCATTTAACAAAGAATTCCAAGAATGCCCCCACAGTGCCTCTGTGTCCCCAACTGGTCCTGCCGATGTCAGACCTCAGGAAACCACAGTTTCAAAGTATTTCTAAAAAGGAAGCATAAAACCAGATCGTATTAAAGTTACAAGTGAGAAAAAAACAAAACTTGTGGACACACCAAAGCTACGTGATACGTGCTGTGTACAGATCTTCTCTCAGGTCAGCTACACTTGATGGATTTTTATGGGCCATTTCCCTTCACATGGAAGAAGTCATTCTGACATCATTTGAACATGGGCTTCAAAAACGTTAGCCAGCACCCGTGGTCACATACAAACATGATTTGTTGAGCACAGCTGCCTTTATTTCCCTATATTATCAGCAGGCTAGGACTGCTCAGCTCAGCAGGCCTCTCTGAGGATTTTTCAAAAGTCCATGTAAAAGTACTTGGAACACATGTGCTATTTAGGGAGTGTCACATGACCACTCCAGGGAGATCCCTGGTTACAAACTGAAAAACATCCACATTTGTGGCGCACATTTGGGCCAAGAGACTTAATTCAGAGCTTTGTGACTTCAGCAAAGGTTCTGCTTTTATTGGAAATACTTAGTTAGTAGTCACACTGTTATAATCACCTCACACGCGTTAACTCAGTCTCCTGTGGTAGTTAGTCCTAAATGTCAATTTGATTGGGTTGAGAGACACCTGGGAGATCAGGAGACGACACTCCTGGGTGTGTCTGTGAGACAGGAACTGAGAGGGAAGACCTACCCTGGTTATGGACATCACCATCCAATAAGCTGCAGGCCTTGATGAACAGATGCAGAAGGAGGCTGGCTGGCTTGGGCTCATCTACCCTCTCTTTGCTTCCTGGCTCCGAAGAGGTGAGCAGCCTCCTCCAGCACATGCTGCGCTGCCTCATTCAAGACAGAGCCCTGGAGCTAGTCAACTATAGACAGACAGCCCTGGGCCTGTGAGCCCAAATAAACCTTTCACGCATGTAAGCTGTTTTGTTCAGTTATTGTGTTATCATGATGAGAAATTAACTCATACATCTCCTAATCAGCGCTTATACTGAGAATCATTATTGTTCCCCCTTTATAGATGAGGGTCTGAGGCACAGAGTAATTAAGCACAGCTCAGATGTCTATGCCCAGCTTAAGGACAATTTGGTTCCAGTGGAAACTCTGTGGTGTCCCTGGCACTCACAAGTATAGCCATGGAACAGACCACTTCTCATAGGCAACCAAAACTCACTGTCCCAGGAAGTGTTGTCCCAAGACTTTCTAGAAAAACACAGACTGGCCAGGTATATGGTATACATCTATAATCTTAGCACTTGGGAAGTTGAAGCAGGAGTATCATGAGTATGAGGCCAACCTGGGTTGCATAGTTAGACCCTATCTCAAAATAAGAATGAGAGAGAGAGAGAGAGAGAGAGAGAGAGAGAGAGAGAGAGAGAGAGAGAGAGAAAGAAAGAAAGAAAGAAAGAAAGAAAGAAAGAAAGAAAGAAAGAAAGAAAGAAAGAAAGAAAGAAAGAAAGAAGTTATACTTTGTGTAATCAGACCAAGAGGGCAAGAGGGTCTTGACACTGTAAGAAGCTAAATTATCAAATGGAAGAGGATCAGTGAGGAAACTGGAAGTTACTTGTATCTTATATATGAGAAGACTGGACCAGCAGATATAAAGACAGTGGAATGCTAGCTTGGGGGAAGAACATGCTAGAACAAAACAGTGTCTAGGAACAAAGCCAACCCCATCAAGCCATTTCACAGCTTGAACACTGGAGTAATGGCGTCCAAGTCTTTAGCTCAACACCATCCTCTCTACCATGGGACTTGAAACCAGCTCATCAGCCGCTGTATGTTTCAGTTTGCTCTCCTAGGGAAACTGTAACAACAGTACCACCTTCCAGGGTTACTGTGAGAAATAATGACTTGTCACACAGCACCAGCCGCCCAGTAACCATCAACAAATGTCAGCTACTGTTAACTACTGTTCACCATTGTTCTGTAACTGTTTCAAGTAACTGAGTGAAATAATAAATTACCTATAACTGGTAAGGAGAAAAAAAATGGCTAATTAGAATAAAGTGATTTTGATCACTAAAGCATATTCTATATACCAACATAAAATTCAGGTAGATTAAAGGCTTAAATTGGAATATGGAAGAACTGAAAAATGTTGGTGAATGTTTATATAATATTAAAGGTGGTGAGAATTGTCTGATTATATTTATTAAACCGAGAGCCTTATAGACTTAACCGCATTCAAAAGCATGCATTTTATATACACAAAACTACCATTAGTGAGGTTAAAAAGCACCATCTGCACAATTAGTGAGGTTTGGGGTTTTTAAGAGAAAATACTGCCTTTAATCCCAGCACGTAAGAAGCAGAGGCAGGCAGATCTCTGAGTTCAAGGCCAACCTGCTCTACAGAGTGAGTTCCAGGACAGCCAGGACCACACAGAGGAAACCCTGTCTCAAAACAAACAAACGAGAGGGGGGGGATTCAGCATTGGAGATGGGTGGGGGTGAGGAGGGCTGGTACTTGCATTGAGTGCTTGCTTCATCAAGGAACTCCTCCTCCTCTCCAGTTTTGTTATCACTATTCCCCCTTATATTTTCCCCATACACTGCCTCCACATTTTAATCTTGGCTAAGTGAAAACATTGACCTGAAGGACTACAGACTGGAGTCCACGCTGTGTGAGTCCTGGGTCTGCTGTCCATTCATCAGGAGTTGCTAGTTAGGGGATGTTGGCTTGCACCACCATGTGCATCAAGTGCACCCATGTCTTGGCCCATCTACAGCCCTCCTATGGCCACTGTGTCCACAGGGGTGTTGCTAACTGTTATCAGAAGTCAAAGTACACGGTTGTCTGCCCTGCTTCCTCGGCCAGTGAGTCTAAGTCGGAAGGAGAGACACCTAAGTGACAGCTCATGCTCCGTCTGACTCATTAGAAACACGGCCACCGTCACTATCAGGGAGCCAAGCCATCACCTGATGATCTGGCCTGCCCTTGACCTCAAGCTATCTTCAGGAACACTTTTGGTGACGCCTTCCTTTGCACAAAGTCCTTGTCCACTCCCCAGCCCCAGCCCTCTTCCAGATCTCACAAAGGGCATCTGCAGTTCTTTATCTGTCTTATTTGAAAATGGTAAGAGCCTGCTCTGATGTGCTTCATCTAGGCGGAAAGACACTAACCAAACCCCTCACAATCCAAAAGGACAGAGGCAAAGCAGGAGCCGAGGAACCCAGCCTCCCCCAGACCATCCACCCGCAGCATCCACCTCAGCGGGTGGCCCAGCTATTCCTTGCTGCGGACATTAGTACTAAAAAGTGACCTTCAACCTTCGGGGCTGATGAGGTGATGACTGAGGGGTTAGGGGCACTCCTGCTCTTCCAGAGGGCTGGAGTTCAGCTCCCAGCACCCCTCTCGAGCAGCAGCTCACAACGACCTGTACCTCCAGCTCCAGAGGACCAGACATTCTCTTCTCACCTCTGAGGGTACTGCACTCATACAGCACACACTCACTCACACACAGGCACAAGCATAAATAAAAAGAAACAGGGAGCGACCCTGACTTATCTGCGAAGCATAATTTGGACTTTGGCTCCCAGGACGTCCAGTTCTTGATTATATATCTGTGGTTCACTTTGCACAGACTCTCAGTCTAAGCACACTCAGGGGGTGTGGCCACACAGCTTCTTCCTCTGAGAACACCTAACTAATAAAATTTACAAGTGGCCAATTTGAATTATAGTTGTTGTTTTTTTTTAATAGTTTTGCCATTCTCTGGCTCCCCTCCCTTCCACAGTTTCATGCTGTGGGACCTTTTATTTTCCTTGTGAATCATCTGTAGAACATTCTCCTGGAAACTCAGCTGAGTGACTCATGTGCTGTGTTAGTCATTCTTAGAGAAAGTAAATACCTTTGAACCGTAACCCTCTTCTCCACAGAGACTCTCTATTCTGGGAGTAAACAGTAAACGGGTTTCTCTTTAATCCTTCACTGATAGATCACAGGTGCTGAAGAGGAAGTTAGACCCAGGGACAACCTTGACGACTTCCTCTGGGCGTGGACATGTTGTTTTCAGAACTGTACACAAGTATGGTCATTTCCTGAAAGCAACTGATGCCATCAAATGGTACAAATAAATTAGCGCCATGACTCGTCTGACTTGGGACATACATATTCAGAGAGCAGTTGTGCCTCAGTTTGAAGACGGAAGAACAAGAGTAATGATTCAGTGCGTTTGATTTCTCTTTGTTATTCTAGGGTCTTCTTATTTGAGTTCCCTGCAGTGGGGGGACTAGAAAAGGGGAGCAAACAGGAAATAAATTAGAGGTAATTAATGTTTGATAAAGCAGCAACAATGCTGGGTTCCTTCTATTGTAACTGAACACATTGCCATAGGTTTAGATAGCTGTAAGGCCACTGATTAGCTCACAGTTAAGTGGAGCCAGGTTCGGACACACTGTGACGGGTTCTCTGTGCACCTTTGCAGAGCTGGACGCAGTGTGTTGAATGCCCGCCTTCCCTCCTGCAGGCTCTGGGAAGGAGTCCGCTCCCAATTCCATTCTCACTGTCAGCTAAATGCAGTCCCTTGAAGCTATACAACTATGGTCCCCATTTCCTTATGGTCTGTCAGCAAGCACCTATCGTCTCCTGTGGGCCACCTGCACCCCTCGCTGGCCAGTCAGCAAGGGCCTCTCTCCTGCAGGTCACCTGCACCTCTTACCCTGTGGCCCTTCAACGCTAGCAGGAAACTCCCAGTGTCAAATCTGTCTCAGTCCCTGACCTGTAGACCCAGGCTCAAGGGTCTGTGTGATGCGTAAGGCCTATTAGAATAATCTGCTTGTTGAAGACTCCATCCTCAAAGGGTGTCCTCCACAGCATCACTTAGAATAGCCTTTGAATGAATAACCAGGGTCCATGAACATGAGAGACACCTTACAGTTTAGTTCTACCTACCATAACTCTGAAGGTGTTTGTGTGTGTGTGTGTGTGTGTGTGTGTGTGTGTGTGTGTGTGTGTGTGTGTGTGTAGAGAGAGAGACAGAGACAGAGACAGAGAGACAGAGAGAGAGATTCCCCAGTATTCCTAGGGGATTGGTTCCAGAAAACCCTCCCCTAAGATAACAAATTTTTTTAATATTAAAGTCTCACATGAAATGTGCTTGCATATAACCTATTTACAATCTCTTTCATACTTTTTATTTCTCTCTGGATTACTTAGAACAGTGAAAACAGTGTAAATGCGAAGCAAATAGCGGATATACTATATTGTTTTAGGAATAATGACAAGGGAAAAGGCCAGCCTATGCTCAGGGCAGCGGCCATTGTTTTCTGGACTATCTCAATCTGCAGTCGATGGAATCCACAGATGCAGAACCCCGGAGACAGCTGGCTGACTCTGTTTACCTGCACATTCACCTTAAGCTTGTATCTTACAATTTTTCTTGTTTATTTAATTTGACGAGTATTAAAGCTATGTTTCATTCTTCATAAAACTGATGGCTGCCTACCTGCCTTATTCAATGCCCTGTGGTGAGCATCTGAAGCATGCCAAGCAATGATCCAGGTTTTGTTTTCAGTATTCTCTCCAAGTGTTTGAAACCTCGTAGAAAAAGATCATTGCCAGCTGCTCTGCAGTTGGGGAGAATAGCTAAAGAAAAAGAGAGAGGAAGGTGTGATCCCAGAGAGTTCTGAAAAGCTTCCGGAAAAGGGTGTTGGGTTTTCATCTTAAGCAGGGGGGCAGCCGCAAGCAGGGAGTCACAGGTAGCTGGCGGGGCATTCGGGTGGGAGGAATCAAGCCATTGTGTGAGCAAAGACCTTAGAGAGAAAGAAAGAGAATAACTAGGACACCCATCCGAACGGAGAAGAAGGAGAGAACTAATCAGAAGGTGTGTTGGTCTCAAATAGAGGCCTCCAGACGCGAGGCTGGGAAGCCATGGAGAAGCCTGGAAGAGCCACCAAAGGAAACACTAAAGGAGTCATTCAGTTCAGAAGTGAGTCCATGGCAGCAGGCAGGCTGGGAGGAAGAGGGGAAACCTGAACCCCTGTAACGGGAGATGGACAAGCAGGCTGTGCCATCTGTCTGTGCGACAGGGATGAAGGCCCAAGCTCTGTGTGACAGAAATGGAAGCCAGTGTAACATGCAGGCTGAGAGGGAACTGAGGCGTCACCAAGGACTAGGGTTTCACTGCTGTGCCTAGAGAATGTCCCCTGATTATAGTTTGCCATCATCCTGGTGACTCAAGAAATCACAGACTCACAGTACTTTGTGGCTGGAAGGAATCTCAGCCCAGGCAGAGGCAACTGAGGACTGGCCAAGCTAAATACCATTTCAAAGACACTGTCTGATCAGGAGCTTGACAGAGGCGAGGAAGCCCAGGCCTCTGCATTTGACATCAAATGCAATTCCCTGGCTCTAAAACGTTCTTAGTGGTGTCACTGTGCAAAATATAAACACAAAACTCAGCACTGGGCAAAAGCCAGAATAGGAACAAGGCTGTGTGTACTTCGAGGACCTGGAGTGAACTGGGGATAAACCTGGATCACAGTCCTTTCCAAATTACCTTCTGAAATGGGAGCTGTCCTAGTCAGGGTTTCTATGGCTACAACAAAACACCATGACCAAAAAGCAAGTTGGGAGGAAAGGCTTTATTTGGCTGACACTTCCACATTGTAGTCCATCATTGAAGGAAGTCAGGACAGGAACTCAAACAGAGCAGGAGCCTGGAGGCAGGAGCTGATGCAGAGGCCGTGGAGGAGTGCTGCTTACTGCCTTGCTCAGCCTGCTTTCTTATAGAACCTAGGACCACCAGCCCAGGGGTTCTACCCACAATGGGCTGGGCCCTGCCCCATCAATCAATAATTAAGAAAATGCTCTCCAGGCCCGCCTCTAGCCTGATCTTATGGAGACATTTTCTCAGTTGAGGCTCCAGTGACTGTAGCCTGTGTCAAGTTGACATAAAACTAACCAGCATAGGAGTCTTCACTTTTTATTTATCATCATCTTTGTCATCATTATCATTATTTGGGTTTTTGAGACAGGGTCTCACTATGTAGCCTTGGCTGTCCTGGAAGTCATTATGTAGACCAGGCTAACCTCGGACTCAGAGAGTCACCTGACTCTCCTCCTGAGTGCTAGGATTAAAGGTTCTCAGTACTGATTCCTAAGTTAAGAGGAGAGAGAGAGGGCCACTTGCAAAAGCCACTCAGGTATTCCCAAAATCCTTCCTAGTCACCACAGAAGAACCACAGCCTCCTCTCTGGCTGTTTCTGCTGCCCAGTTTGAATGTTTCCCAATTATATCAAAGAGTCACCGGGTAGGGTGGATTCCAGAAGCTGCTGTCTGTGTCAGAAAGCCTGCCCATCTTAATTCACAACTCTTTCCCTTGTAAGAACTCCATTCTGTCCCTGGAGCTTCGGGGAGTGGACTGGATGACCGCGTTTTGGATGTTGGAATGTGTGATTGTTCCCCGTACCCTTCTTTAAACCGCCTCAGAAAAGAGAGCCCAGCCAGGCGGTACACATCTCTGGTAAGACATGTGGCAATCTACAATACAAGAAGGCGGCCAGATAACTCACCTGGCCCAGATCCAAAATCAACATCTCTATCCTTGTTGAAGAAAGTTTGAGTAGAGATAAAAAAAGGGAAAGTGAGACGAAGGGAAAGGCAGGCAGACAGAAGCCTCACCCCCTCGGCCCCTCCTCCACACGGCCCACTAATGGCCCCTACCGACAGTAACAGAGCACCCATTGTGAAGTCCATCCCTGGCAGTCCGTGTGCCTGGCTGCCCCACCACTACAGCCCATTGTCTCCTGTGGCTGTGCTCAGAAGTATGGATGGGGTGACAGTGTGGCCCAGGGGCAGAGGGCAGCAGGCCTCAACCTGTCACCAGGAAAAGGTCCATACTCGAAGGTTATAAATTTAACAAGATTTCTGGAATTAGCTACAAACTAGTGGAATTCTGGGAATCAATTCCACTGGCTGGCTGCCTATTGGTTTTAAAGAAATGTCCTGCCAGGGAAGCCTGGGAAACAAGGATCTATGATTACCCAATCCTGGAGGCAGCTTTCCAACCCCTTGGATAACTCTGTCCGCACAAAGGGGAAGGTTTAGCACCAATCAGCAAGAGCCAGCTCTGGAGGAAAAGGAAGGAGGAGGAGGACTGTCCCATCTGCGGACCCAAGTCAGGAAGCCTGCCTGACTCATCACGTGCCCGTGCCGCTGCTAGGACAGCGAAGGCTTTACCTACCCAGGAGGCGGCCACTGTCAAAGGCACTCCGGTTTGCCATTTGACGTCCGTCATACACTGAAGTTTGAGAGTGATTACGTTTCCCATGTATCGTGATTGCACATCTGGATCTGATCAAGAAGAATGCACAGCCCCTGGATTCCCGGCCTTGGAACCAGATGCAGCAGCCAACCTTTGAACTATGTTCTTTTCCTACATTCCTTTTGAAGTTTTTATTTATTTATTTATTTATTTATTTATTTATTTATTTATTTATTTATTTATTTATTTTTCCTATATGTAGAATAGTTCTAGTTTGTTAATAAATTATTTTTCTTAATATAATTATGCATCATTTAATAGTGGAGACAATTCTGAGAAAAGTGTCAATGGGTGAAAATGTCATTGGGAAATATCACAGAATGTTTGTTCTTCGGCAAAATAGCATGAATGGCTATGTGGCTAGCCAACATAAACTTTTTTTCCCCCTTTTCAGCAGGGTCTTGTTATGGATCTCAGGCTGACCTCAAACTCCTCCTCCTCCTCCTCCACTTGTCCGTAACTGCTGGGATACAGGCACATATGGTCCACGCCAAGCTTTAGGAGATGCAATCTTATGTGCCTTCCCCTCGATTTGTGGTCCACCACTTGACTGCATTGTCATTACTGGTATGGGACTACTGAGTATGTGTATGTGTGCATACATGGTGTACAGCCAAATAGCAGGTCTCAGGCTTCTTTCCAGTGCCCCTAACTTGATAAGAATCTCCCCCTTCTCAGTTCCACTCTGGTGGGATAGCTGCTCACGCTGCTCTGTCCCCAACAAGTCAAAATCACAAAACCCAACACAGACTGATCCCTATCTCAAATCCACGCTGACTCCGCCAATGGAAAGTCACTTAAGCTAGGAGGAAGGACTCCTCTAAACTGCAAAACTCTGTCCTCACTGAAGTTGCTCATTCAGAGTGTCCTGGGGGCTCATATCTGCTGTCACACGGCCACAGAAGAGAAACAGAGGCCCAACTGGCACAGCAGAGGTGAGAGGCCGATGGCAAAGATGGCCCCCACTCATGGTACTGCATCCCAGGTGAGATGTCTTGGACTGGTGACAGCTTTCTGTATAATACCATGAGCTCCCGCCTCTTTAGTTATGGCTCTGCGCTTAAATACGTCCGTCCTACCCTAAGACATGAGACTGTCAGCACTTTTCTGAAGACACCTTAACTTGTATATCTGTTGTCATCTAGGACCATTTAAAACAAGTCCTCCATATAAAACTGGTGCTGCAGCTTGGACATGGGAGAAGGACGGCATGCATAGAAAGAACACGGTTTTACCTTTCACCTCAGCCCAGACGGCACAGGAATATCTTCTCACCTGGAAGGGAAACAGAAATCCATCTAAGCAGGAGGCACAGGGCGTCATTTTAAACAATATAACACAGATGCTAAATCCCTCCTTTTCACACTCTAATCTGAACTAGAAAAACCTTTCAAGTCCCATCTAGCTTTTTAAGTGTCTGCATTTGTTATGTGTTGCTGGGTAATAAAGCCATGTCTTCACATGTGCTTTTACCACCTCTTACACCTTATAATTCAGCCATGTATCACCAGTGTTCAAGGGGCCGGCATGGGTAACAGGTATAGGAGTCCGTGGGTTTCCAAAAGAGCTCAGAAAACTCAGACCATGAGTAGACAACAGAATGTCGGGAACATCATTGCTGCTGCCAGATCTGAGCAGCTGGCATGGACTGTTTGAGTACTGCTGAAAATTCGGAGACCACACCTAGGTTCACCAAGAAGCACTGGGGGGGGGGGTGTTATAGGCAAGCAATGAGAAGGTCTGGTATGTAATAATATTTCATCTATCTAGATGAGGCTTAGCAACTCCATTCACCCCAAATGTGTCCAAAAACCAGCAAGAAAGCAACAGGACGAAGCAAGAAATCGACAAACTCACTAGAATGGAGCACCTCGTCTTCTGGCCATTGTTAGCACACACATACCTGTCGATCAGGACGTCTGGGACTCTTGTACATGACTAAAGATTTGGTACAGTCTCCCCTAGGGGAAGAAGTTACAGAACGACCTCTCCAATCTTACTATGAGAATCTGTTTCACGTGACACACTTGGACATTCTGGTTTTTACGTTGCATTGTTTTGTTTTGTTTGTTTGTTTTTCAAGACAAGGTTTTTCTGCCTGGAACTCACTTTGTAGACCAGGCTTGCCTCAAACTATCCGCCTGCCTCTGTCTCCTAAGTGCTGGGATTAAAGGTATGCACCACCATGCCTGGGGCTGGTTTTCATGTTCTTAAAAAGGGGGTTTATTGTTTTTGGTTTTTGCTTTTTAAATATATTTAAACTGAAATTTTCTGGGCAAGTTTTAAGTAGCCACGGGTTTTGAATATAATTACACTTTGTCTTGAGGCTAAGTCTTGAAATTAGAAATGGAGAAATACGCTTGTCAAGACAACAAGAAGCAAAGGGCTCTCTGATAGTAAGGTGGTTACTAAGGAACTGAAAACACCACAACAGAGAAGCGGACGGGCCAAGTGAGCAGGAAGGTCACTGACGGGCCTGGATCAGAGGCGTAGTTTATAAAACTCACCCTGGCAGTAGCCAGGGCAAGGAGGTGGGTAAAACAAGAGACAAGAATCTGAACAAGTGATGGGCAGAGAAAAGATGGCCATCTATGGACTGTGCTGACCTAAAAAAAAAAAAAAAAAGAAAAGAATGATTTTAAAATGCATTAAGGTGATAGATCTGACCCAATTTGATGACAGAACAGAGAAGCTGAGAGAGAGGGAGGAGTCGAGAATTATTCTTCACGTCCTCCTACAGGGCATAATGGGGCATGGGTTAGGAGAAATATATGGAAGAAAAAAGAAAATGGAGATGTTGGAAGACTTATGCTTTCAAAGTATGCCATGAACACAGTGTAATACTAGCACAAAGACAGACATATAAGTCAATGAAGCAGACTATAGCATTCATCAATGAATCCTTGCAGACCTTAAATGGTCTTTTAATTAAAAAAAAAAAAAAATCCGGTAACACAGCTACCACCTATTACCTCACCAACTCCACGAATTCTCTGACTGAAATCCTGAGTCTTCACCCAAATGGGTCTCAGCTGAACTGCCTTAGTTCCTGTTTCCTCAAGGTTTATATACCTTTCTCTGCTCAGACATCACTTCCTGGGATTAAATGCGTGTGTGCTTCCCAGTACTGGGATTAAAGGTGTGTGCCAACACTGCCTGCCTCTATTTCCAGTGTGGCCTTGGACTCACAGAGATTCAGACAGATCTCTGCCCCCGAGTGATAGGATTAAGGGTGTGTGCCACCACTGTCTAGCCTCTATGTCTAATCTAGTGGCTAGCTCTGTCCTCTGATCCTCTGGCAAGCTTTATTGGGGCATACAATATATTACCACATTTCCCCTTTTTTGTCTGAAATAATGAAAGAAGGTTATAACTAATATAAGTAAAACTATATACAATAAGTATATACAATATATACAATCAAGATTTACATTAACAATGTCCAGTCCATAAACATTTGACAAATTCAGAGAAAATACTCCATTATCTATCTATCCTATTTTGGTGAGTCCAAAGTGTTGTACCTAATTCACTTTTTATCCTAACTTGTATTACCAACCGAAAACTACCTTTTGATGTCTTTCAAACTTATACTCTTTACACATCTTTAGTGAGTTTCTCTTCTGAATTTGTTAACAAGGAAAACTATAACTATAACTATCTAATCTTCAACTCCCTCAGAGACCCAAGAAGGAAATATTAACTGAGTAAGCAGGAAGTACAAACAAATGACTTCCAAAAAATCATGAGAAATGACAGAAACAGCTGGCTGCCTGGACAGTCACCCAAGATTTCTCTGCAACGTTGGGGCATCCATCTTTGGCCTACAGCCCTAGCATATCTGACTGACTCAGCTGTGAAGCAGGATTTTCTGAAGGGCCTTCCTACCTTGTCTTGGCAAGGTTTGGTAGTCCTTTCTTTTGTGTCCTGCTTGTCCATTTTGGACAGCATACTGTCAGCAGTCAAGGCAAGAACATTTTCTTGCCCAGTGGCTAACTTTTGCCACAAAGAAAGTAAACTCCATATGGAGTTTCTTCAATGCCCATCATCTTCTCTGAAGTACATTGATGCTGCCAGGAGCAGACATGTCTCATAGTCATTTAAAAAAAAAAGAATCTATGTAATTAAAACATCTTAAGTGCCATATTCTATAGATCTCTGAAGTGTTTGAAGATGACCTCTTTATCTAAGATATATCTTTGTTTGACCTTGAATACATACCTAACATGACTATAAATTCGAGTGTTAATGGGTGACTATTAACTTGCATTTCTTTATATTCTAATTAGTTGGTAATAATAACTTTCAAGGATTAGCAATTTGCATTACATTGTTAATGAGCTGTATAGGCACAATACCTTGAACAAGAGTAGAAATAAATATACAGTATTTTCTCACAAAATCAATCTCAAATTTGTATCAATATATATAATTAATATACAATATAAAAAATTCAATCCATTATAAAATATTTAAAACTAGTAGTTGCTTTCTATAAGTAGACTCAATAATCTACCTTTTTATTTTATCATTTCCATATTCTTCCTTTTTTCTTTTCAGAGAAGAATCAATAATCTACCCTTTATCCATCACTTCTCTCTTTTTTTTTTTTTTTTTCGAGACAGGGTTTCTCTGTGTAGCTTTGTGCCTTTCCTGGAACTCACTCTGTAGCCCAGGCAGGTCTCAAACTCAGAGACCCACCTGCCTCTGCCTCCCAAGTGCTGGGATTAAAGGCATGTGCCACCACCGCCTGGCCACTTCTCTATATATTTTTTCAGAGTAGATTCAATAATCTACCTTTTATCTTATATCTATATTCTCTTTTTTCTTTTTCTTTTTTTTTTCTTTCAAGCAAGAATCCTAAATCTAATCTTCTTTGTTTAGACTTCTTCCTGACCATTAACAAAAACAACTTGTAACCAACCATCCTAAACAATGACAATTATCCATAACCCATTGAAAGACCAAAAACCACCCACCCCACCTCTTGGGAATGTATGTGTTGTGTTCTTAAAATTAATTCCTGCAGTCTGGGGTCAAAGGCATCTTTAGGGAACCCTGAAAAGAAAATTTTTGAGTTAATTGTCAAGCCCTGGGAGAGGTAGCTACATCATTTGTTGTCTGGTCTCTGCATAATGGGAAAGTGCAGGGCTTGTCTCAAGTCCTTGCTCAAGTAGTCTGTGAAACTGGATCACCTCGGCTAGCCATCTCAAAATTGTCCTGAGCAGTTTGTAGTCCAAAGCCAATCTCTGGGTGGTGTTTTTCAGCTTAGTAGTATTATCCTGATGGAATCTTCATTGTGGGGTTCCATCATCTTTTTGGAGACTTCAAAATCGCATTGGGTCAGATTATTCCTTTTCTTGGTAATTTTTTCCAGGCAGTTCTCTCTTCTTCTTTAGATGTTTATCTGTTCAAACATCTTTAAATTCTTCAAGATGTTTGTTTTTATTTTCCTAAAAAGACTAAAACAAATCCCTTCCTCAACTCTAACTTTGGGGAGTTTCCAAATCTAATCTTTGTCAATTTTGATTTATGGTTTCTCCTTAAATTTTTGTTTTATTTTCTAAAGCTGTTCTATCATCCAGAGCAGTATGGTTTTTTACAATAGGCATTAGGGTCTTTAATTGCTCTAGGAAGGGGTTTCTTCCATGATGGCAGGAAAGGACTGAACAAAATTTGTCATGGGGGCCTGCAAGAGGCCCCTTGGGGCATTTCCTGACAGCAAAGGCAAGGAATTACCTTGCCTGTCCCTTTTTGATCTATATTCATTAGTCTAATGTCTGTCTTTGCCATACCTTCTGCATAATTCAGAAGGGAGGGGCATTCTGTTGGGATTATTTCTTGAAAAAACGTTGTTTCTAGGAACATCCTGTTTACAGTTCTTTTTAGGTGACCTTGTTGACCACATTTGAAACATGTGACATTACTATTTTTCTTCAAACCTCTGGAAATCACCTCTCCTATCCAAGCATCATCATGGTCATGAGATTCAATATTAATTGTATCTCTGATCCATTCCTCCAAGGGTGCTGCTCTTGTCTTTAACAGCCTAATTACCCTTTTGCATTGCACATTAGCATTTTCAAAAGCCAGAAATTCAATTATTATATGTCTAGCTTCTGAATTTAGTATCATTCTATTTACTGTTAAAGACAGCCTTTCTAAGAAATCAGTAAATGACTCAATTTTCTTTCCTATTTCTTCAATTCTGTCCTAAGCATTAAAGACTGCCATGTGGCATAAGCCAGGGAGGGAGTGATCATCATATAGAGATTGCCTTTCTACTTTAGCATAGTAGAAACAACTTTTTAGCAACTCTCTAAAAAGTTGATCTTGGGAGATTTCCATACCTCTAGCCCTACTTTGTTGTTCAATGGTCTTAGCCTCATCTTTCTGCCAGGTCCTCCATTGTAATTGTGGACCAGCTTCTAGGACAGCTGTAACCAAATCTCTCTAGTCTTGAGGGATAATTCTATCACAAGTTGACCACAAATTTAACATCTGCTTCACAAATGGGGAATTCATACCACACCACACATAGCTTCTTTGAATCTCCTCAAATCTAACATTTGCACAGGAGTCCAGTCAACTCTTTACATAGCCTTGAGCATTTGGCAGTTCCTGTAAGTTTACTGGATACATTAACGTTGGCTGTTTGAAAGCCTGAGGTTGTTTCTCTGTAACCGTGATGCAATGCTGAGACTGGTTCACCTTTAAATTCTTCTGTCTGGGTCTGAATATCTCTATGATCTGTTTTAACAAGTTTTTCTAAAACTTCTATCTTGGCACTCATATTAACCAACTTTTTTAATGATAAAACAAAAATGATCAAACAAATAATACTTATAATTGACATTACATCTATCCCATCAACTTAATAGATTTAAGATTTATTAATCTCATTTAATAGATTGATGTTCCATTTTCAGAACATCAATCGTATTATCAAACAGAGACCAAACACTCTCCATTGTAAAAACATTCCTCATTTTTTAATGTGGGGAAAAAACTTTCTTTTAACTAATTCCTCCCTTTAAGAAATCTTAATTGACTCACCAAATCTGCTGATAATGACGATTCAGATGATGGTGTGGCAGCAGCCCAAGGAGGGGGCCCAAGGAAAGCCAGAACCCACCAAGAGGAAAGATGCCAAAAAGCCAGCTTTCTGCACTGGGGAACATGTGAAAGCAGCTAATTCTGGGGTGTTTGGAGATTGAGCCTGGGGAGTTTGCTGCAGAGAGGCTGCAACAGAAACTTAGACAGTGGGGTGGAGACTCCAGCCCAGGCAGGGTGGAGATTCTGGCTGCATGTAGCTCCTGCCTGAGCCACAGGCAAGTGGTTTTTTCATGAATTCATGCCCCACAAGTTGAATGCCAGATGTTGTTCGAATCTTAGATGGTCTTTTAATAAAAAAAAAAAAAACCTGGAGCCTGATATTAGGGTGAAAGCTGAAAGATCAGAGAAGCAGAACAGCCAGCCACTAGTTCTTACCTCTACAAAATCCTCAGCCTAGAAAGAGTGAGTTCCTGTAATCCTCAGCCTAAAAAGAGTGAGTTCTCACACCTTATATACCTTTCTCTGCCCAGACATCACTTCCTGGGATTAAAGGCAGGTGTGCTTCCCAGTACTGGGATTAAAGATGTGTGCCACACTGCCTGGATCTATTTCCAGTGTGGCCTTAAACTCACAGAGATCCAGACTGATCTCTGCCTCCTGAGTGATAGGACTAAGGATGTGTGCAGCCACTGTCTGGCCTCTGTGTCTAATCTAGTGGCTGGCTCTGTCCTCTGATCCTCTGGCAAGCTTTATTGGGGTACACAATACATCACCACACTTGCCTATATGTCAGATGTTTTTGAAAGAAGCACTTACAATAGTTGGTTTGGTCAACTCAATGCAATCTAGAATCACCTAGAAAGAGAGTCTCAGTAAGGGACCATCTAGATCAGGCTGGTCTACAGGTATGTCTGTATGCAGGTATAGGAGATTATTTTTATCATTTTAACCAACAGGGAAGACCCAACCTACCATGGGTGGCGCCATTCCCCATATTTGGGTCCTGGAGTACATAATATTGAATAAAGAATGCTGAGTAATCATTCTCTCTCTGCTCCTGACTGACTAGTTGCTTCAGGTTCCTGCCTCGACTTTCCCAAATGATGTGCTGTAACCTGGAATTGTGAGCTGAATAAACTCCTCCCTCAAAGTTGCTGTTTGTCAGGGAATTTTATCATCACAGCAACTGGGCTAGAAACTAGAACAAATACCAAGAATTCAGTGGGGACCTGTCTTTCAACAAGTAGTGTTCACATGAAAAAAAAAAAAAAAAAAAACTAGGCTAGACTTTTACCTAATGCCAAATGTAAAAATTAACTCAAAATGGATCAAATGCCCAAAAGTAAGACTTGAAACTACAAAACTCCTAGAAGCCAACACAAGTAGGAAGTTCCTGTCGATGGCTTCTTGGGACTCCAACACAGACCGCAAAGAAAAACAGACAAATTGAACTTCAACAAAATTTAAAACTTTTGTGCATCAACATTAACAGCAAAAAAAGGAAGAAAATATTCTCAATTTCATCTCATAAGAGATTAATATCCAAATTATAAGAGCACTCCAAACACAAAAAAAAAAAATCGAGCAACTCAATTTAAAAATTAGTAAACAACAGCGGTGGTGGTGCACGCCTTTAATCCCAGCACTCGGGAGGCAGAGCCAGGCGGTTCTCTGTGAGTTCGAGGCCAACCTGGGCTACAAAGTGAGTTCCAGGACAGCCAGGGCTACACAGAGAAACCCCGTGGGGGCAAAAAGAAAAAAGGAAAGAAAGAAAAGGAGAAAAAAAGGAAAGTACTGGAATAGACACTTGTCCTAAAGGAGTGACAGCCACCAAGCACTTAAAAAGATGCTGAACATCCTTAATCTTTAAGGAAATGCAAAACAAGACCCAAGCAAGGCACTGCCTCACACCCATCAGGGTGCCTGTTACATTGATATTTCGAGGTAACAGTACTCTGGGCTTAGGCTTCCCAATCCTTAATCCCTGTATTATTGTCACAAGGCAGTCCTTGGCCTCTCTGCTGCCCGTACATAGTCTTAAGAAGTCAGCCTCGGTTGGCTGTCAGCACGCCGTGGCTAGTCAGACTCCTGTCCTCGACAGAATGTAATAGATGCCTGTTTTAAATATGAAGAACCTTACAAATGAGATGGCTACATACTTTTGCTTCAAATGTATCAGTCGAGAGACGTTTTGTTAGTATTTCCATAATTTTCCTAGTTTCCAACCCACATGATTTTACACCGAGTTTAGAATTCTCCCAGCTCATTACATTTGCTAATTACTGAAAGAAACACAGCTGGTAGAGAGGAAGCTTTCTGAAAGGGGGGTGGGGAGAATGGGGCCTATGAAAACTAAGACATGGCCGTCTTATTTCTGTGTCCGCCACTCTCTCCTGCTTCTCTGGAAAATGAGGGAAGGCAGCAACCTTCCGGGCATACAGGACGCAGCGGATCTCAACATTCCTTCCAGCTCCGACTTCAGCAGTGCTGTTGAATTCTGGGGCTCAGGAAGCGGGAGCCACAAAGTAGATCAGTCCCCTAGCAGGTGCAGTAAGACTCCAGAAGGGTGGGCTCTCCTCTCCGCAGGTCCCACCCACCCACCCTTTAGAAAGACAGCACCATGAGGGAAGAGTCACAACGTGTTTCTGCGCTTATTCCGCGTGGCATCTGCCACAGATGTGGGGCCTGGGGGAGGGGCCATAGTCAAACAGTTTAAATCTCATGTGAAAGAGAGCGAGGTCACAGCACCATTTTAAAAACTATACCTTATTCCATTCACTTGTGATCCGTAACAGAATGCAGTAATCATGTCCCGGTTTCAAAGGTGCATTGTAGTATTCCCCATAGTACAGCCTGTCTCCAATAGGTATCTCCAATGTGTCATCGGGAACATCACTGGCCAGGATTTCTGCAGCTACATATCCATCAGCATGAGAGGTGTTGCCAAAGAATGAAGTCATGCCTTCAGAACCACAAAAGAACGTGCTCCCCAAGGACAGGGGGAGGGCCAACAGCTGATAGGAACTTAGGAAAGGAGAAAAAAAAGCAGAGAAATTGGCAGGGGCCCCGTTAAGAAGGGAGATTTTAGTCATCATCAGGCCCTTCACCAGATGTGCATTTCATAAAGCTCACTATGCACTCCTGTTTGGAGGACTGTGTGTTTGGGCTTATTGAACTCGTACTATGCAATAAGCACCTTTGAGGCACTAGAGACACAAGAGTGGACAAGAAAAACTTCTGGCTCACACAGGATTTAGTGTCTGTAATTCCAACAGTCACGAACCTCCAAGTTTACCCACAGCCAGATGAGAACAGAAGTCCCAGCTTCCCCAGCTGGGAGAAACCGGTGCGTGCATCACTCACTGCCTTGTGTCTGTCATACGGCAGTGTTTCACGTGGGCAGTGGGAAGGGTTTAGAAGTCACATGAAGGTTGAGCACCTTCAACAGTGAATGTGCTAAGTCTGAAAAACGGCTCCAGACAGTCATGTGGTGACTTAAAACAGAACTCATATGATTTACATTCCCCACAGTTCAGAGGCTGACGCCAAAGTTCACGCCAAACCAATGAGCGGTCAGGAGTGAAAAGTCACCACGAATTAATCTGGGCTGACAGGATCCTGGGAAAGTGAAAAGACATATGGATCTGGTGGAAATGTCCCCTAAAGGAGGGGACAGAAACACTAGCAATCGGGTGTCATTTTGTCATGTATTTTAGTAATAGTTATCCACCGAAGGGAAAAACCAGCCAGAAGGAAGAAGTGTAAGGGTGAAATCGAATCATGTCCCCCTTTCCATTCCTACCAGCTCGGCCTTTGTTCCCCACCTCTGGCATCATAAACGTACGAACACCTGTCTCTACTGAACTTGATAATGCGGGTTTGCAGGACTGTCTCCCACATCTGCAGGCCCTTCCACATTTCCTTAGCTATGATGAACTCCCCATAATTGCTGGTTGAGTTGAATTTTCAATAAAGGGAAAAAAATGCCTGGATCAGCATCAAATATGATTAGGGTGATTTCCAAAACTCATTAGGCCACGTAATTCTATTTCACCACCGATTTTGTACTTCCTGCTCCACATTTCTAATGCCCCGTTTCCTGCTCCCGAAAAGCACATGAATCACTAGGTTAAGAGGGGGGAGCCCTCCCCATAGTCACTGTTGGATTTGGAAAGTCTCCAGCCACCTGCTATGTACCCAACTATGTTAGGTGTCCCTAGGACCCCGACTTCCACAGAGTCTGGCTCACTTTCAGAAAAGGACTCTGAACAAAAGAGATTAAGCAAAACCTGCAGGGAAACAAACAGTTACCAGCCAGCCACAATAAACATTGACTGAGTCCCCACTGCCTGTGGGGAACACCTGGGACAGCTTTTCTGGGGACTGGAAGGTATGGTGGCCATGAGCAAGAAGCCCCACTCTGTCCAGAAGCACACATTCTCAGTCTGTCTCATCCTGATAGGTGAGCGACTGCCGGGAAGTTCAAGGCTCCCCTGCATCCAGTCCATTCTGTACATTGCCCATGAAAGTCAGGGAGCAGGCCTCCTATTTGGCCTGGCGATTATAGGAATGCCCAGGCCCCATCCCAAACCTACTGGATCAAAGTCTCCAGCACTAGAGTTGGGAATGTTTGCTGCTGATAAAGCATGCTAGCTGATTCCTGTCAGCTAGTAAAGATAAGAGAGACGTTAGCCTCCAGGGAGCCCAGGGACAGGTCTGACCACCCGCCCAAGCTCTGCGTGCTCCATGCCAGGGTTCACACAAAAGACCCAAAGCAGGCTCTGGCCTGGCAAAGCTGCTACCTGCAGCTCTGGCCAGGCAGGCAGCCAGGCTGCGGGAATGGCATGCTCACCTTCTGGTAAACAGCCCCGGTGACGATGACGACGACAAAGAAGCTGTTACAGTGGTCTGGAACCTGACCACCTGACCAGTTTGCAAAGGACTTCTCCCCACCGCCCTCTCTGGATGACTCACCCGGTCTCCACTTCCTGTTTTGAAGGCACAGGCTGATACACTGCCACAAGGGTCGGCTGTCACTTGGCTTTTCTTTTTGCCTGACGCAATTATTTGGCTTAAGTAACACATCTGCTCTTGTAAATTCATTCAGGCAAGGATGCAATGACTTCTGTTCTTCTTACAGCATCAGAATTACAATACTTTCCAGTAACTTATCAGGAATCCAAAAACAGAGCTGTATGGGCAATGTCTGTCCCTGAAAAGACTTGCCCTGCCTGAAAGCAGGGTAACCCTATCTCCAGACTTGCCTTTTCATAGTTCTACACTATCTCATATTTATTTTTGCCTTGGTTGCACTGAGAGGGTCACTACACTGAAAGGTTAGGGGCGATTAAAAGCCACGCAGGCCAGGCCCCCGCACACCATGACTCTGTGATCTGGGACTGTTGATCCCCATCTGCAGGCCAATCTTAATCTTCCTCTCTGAGAAGGGGGTTAATTCAACTTCCCTAATCCTTCTGTGACCTTTGTAAATACAATGCAAAACTGAGCAAACCGTGGTCCCCCAACAGAGGTAAATTAATTCCTTCTTAATGCCATCTGGAATCCCAGCAGGTCACTAACGACACAGTGTCTTGCCTGTAACTCAATATGTGAACAGATAAAAATCATTCTCTAAATGACCTTTTCAGAAACCACTCCACACACGCTCAAGATCAGCCTGACATGAAAAGGGCACATCCTGTCTCTGGGAAGTGAAACCGTCCTGTGTCCCCCATCCTTAAAGTGACGCAGGGGGCACTGCCCGATGCTGTCAACCGAGGTCTGTGACCACACCAACACTCAGTGTCCTGAGTTAGGCTGCCCAAATGCCTGTCTCTGGTCCCTCACAGGCTTCACTCTTGATTCGGAAGGATGTTACTGGGATGAAAAGCCCCGTGTGCATTCAAGGAAACAAAGTAAGAGTCCCTCTCGCACTGCCCAATGCAACTACCCAAAATCAGCCACCCCCAGGGAGTCTTCTCACTCACATAGTGGGACCACTGGGCAACTGTGGAGGAAAGACGGGAACTCACCTGATAGGTCCATTTATCTCCTCCGCTTTCCTCAGCCTGAAGTGTGGTAGAGGCCTTCCTTGCACAGTGAAAAATTCGACCTCTGGAAGCGGGGGCTCTGAAAACATGAAGGAGGAGAAAAGACGGGGGGAGCAGGAGGTTAGACCAAGGGGAAAGCACAAAGAAAGTGGTCCTCCGGGATGCCATGCAAGTTGTTAACCCAGAAAGTGAAATATCCATACACGAAAAAGACTAATATTGTAGGAGTCCACTTTCGTGAAGCATCGAGATTAGTCAATTTCATAGAGCGGGTGGCCAAGGACTGAGGGGTGTGACAGGGCGCTGAATTCCCTGCTTAATGCTCAGAGGTTTTATGTGGAGTGATAAAAATTTTTGGAAACAGGTAGTGTAGGGGTTGTGCAACGCGGTGAATGACCTAAAGCTAATAAAGTATATGTTTAAAAGTGGTTAATGTTGTTACATTTTAGGTTGTATACATTTTTTTCCACAATAAAAAGAAGTGATAAGCACGCTCCCACACCCACAGGGGATGGGTCCTGGGGTTTTGATACTTGCTAGACAAATCCTTATTTGGTAGGTGCTATGCACGGTTCAGAGATGGTTTGAAGGCGGCTCCCAAAACTTCGGGCATTGGAAGCTTTGTTCCTAGAGCAATGACGTGTAAGAGGTGGCGAACCTTTTAGATGCAGAACCTGGTAGAGGCCGAACTGGTCACTGAGGGTGATGCTCCTGGGAGTGACTGGCGCTGGTTTAAGGAGTGAGTTAGTTCCCAAGAAAGTAGGCTGTCATAGAAGGAACAAGACAGGACCCAGCATTCCTGTGCTCACTGCTAAGGCACATAGACACTTCCCAATATAATCCATTATGAAGCAATCCATGCAGCGCTCACCTGGGGCCATCATGGAGCAGCCCCACCTTGAACTTTTAGCATCCTAAAGTGTGAGCTAAAGAAACCTGTCCCTTTTCCAGCTTTGCACACTTTATTATAGCGACAGAAAGAGGACTAACGTAGTACAAAAGACCAGTGTGTCTGATTTCTGTGTCCTTTATAATCATGGTGTTTTGTGTGCCACACACTGCTCTCTGCCTCCCAGCTCTTGTCCACCAGACTCCCTGGGGGTTTTTCACTGACTGAGAAAAACACACTGACTGGCTGACCCCGGTGTTCTACCAAATCACTGGTAGTTACATCCAGGAGGTCAGTGCGCCAGCTGCCAGTCTGCCCATGGGCAATGTAAGAAGAAGAATTTGGACACTGGTATCGCACACTAGATGTGTCCTGCCAATGTTTCACTTTGATGGCACTCCCCAGTAAAGCTACCGAGAGGGCAACATGTATGGACACATCATTTCCTCCCTCTCCTGCTGTTCCTACTTGATCTCTGCAATGGGAACATCTATGCTCGCCAAAGGATCATGGGAAGCGCCTGCCTGTCCTTCTAGCCACGTGATTCATGAGATGGACAATGCTGGGCTGTTGTCCCCTCTGCTCACGCCTTTCTGTCCTTCCCAGGGCGTCATCTGGACACAGGACAGGTGTCCACATCTCACCAGCCACAGAACCAACAACCAGATACTATCTCACCTTTGTTTTGTTCTGTTTGGGGGGCGGGGGTTTGAGACAGGGTTTCTCTGTATGGCCCTGTTTGTCCTGGAACTCACTCTGTAGCCCAGACTGGCCTCGAACTTGGAGATCCACCTGCCTCTACCTCCTGAGTGGGATTAAAGGCGCGCACCACTGCCTGGCCTCTATCTCACTCATGTATATTTTTAAGTTTTCCTAAACTTAGAGGTGGTACCAGTGTGATTAATACTCTTGACATCTATTCTTTTGACCATCTACAGACGAGGAAACAGAGTGTAAGTTCTTTGCCCATGCATACTCACCCTATAGCAGAGACAGGATAGGAACACATTCTCTGCTACTCACCTTTCTCATTTACCCCCTCACCGGTCTCTTAAATGCCTGGCTCCGCCAAATCTTCCACTCAGTGAATTAATAACATCCATTTTTAATACACTGAATGAAGAAAGGCTTTACAACATGTCAACTCCAGGACAAGAATCTGTTTTCACAATCACACTGCAGTACCAGAGTGTCGCTCACACCAGAGAGACAAGGCCAAGTGAAGGTGCAGAAATAATCATCAAGGTGATGGGTAAGACCAAGGCTCTTGCTTCCGTGGCTTTTGTCTCTAGCTGCCCATCTATAAAGTGGGAATAAGAACAACACCCACTTTGACCCTTAATCGGCACCCTGGAAAATGCAGTGCCTGTACTATTTGGAGTGCCTTCGGGGGGCCAAGGCTGCTTTAGCTCTCTGACCTGATCAGTGAGTGACTTGAAGAATGCCAGCCTGGATGATGCCAGTGCTTCTTTCTCATTTAAAGGTGATTGTCGGCCAGGGGACAAATAACTTGATGGGATTTGATGCAGGAAGAAAGATCTGTGTCGTTGATGTCATAGACTAATGACATCCACAGGATACCTCATTAACCTGTGGGGTCAAGTTGGGGGTCTCTAGGGGAAAGGTTCTGGGTATCTCCCTCTTCATCCCGTCCAAAATCTGAAATACAAATTCCACTGAGCTATTACACCAGTTTAAGTGTGTTAAACCTCTTTCTTGCGTTATGCTTAAAAACAATAGATCAATTTAAGAAACCAGTTAGTTTCTTAGTAGTAGCCCCTCCCCTTCCCATACAGTTCCTGTGGGGCTGTCACTCACGGTCCTCCAAACCCTATCTGTCCACCACACCCAGGACTATCAGGAAGAGTGATTCTTGTAACTTGGAGGGAAGACAGCACCCTGTTCTTACTCTTGGATCACAGCTTAAGTACCACATATGCCGGTAATGCCCATCTTTCCAGGTCTGTGTAAAAGACCTGAGACGAAAAGAAGGCGGAGCAGCTGAGCGATAGCGTCGGGGCCCTGACGGCCCATTTGGGGACCTTACTGTGCTTCAAGAGAGATGCCTTCCTTGACTTCCATCTGCGATCCAGCACATTCCACAGGCTTACACTGTTTGGAGCTGGCTCCTGTCATTTACAGCCCAAACAGCCTTGACTAACTTCAGAATGCTCCCAGCCACCCTCACATTCTGCTGAAGGGCAGAACACACAGCTGCCTGCCCATCGGAGGGAACCCTGGCACCAGGCCGGAAGTGGCTCTTCTGCGTTTGTGTGAGAACTACTGTGAATCTAGGCCCATCCCCGACCCCCTGGCTAACCAGCTGAGCTCTGGCAGTGGAGACAGGGGGAGAGGGCAGGCCTGGGTCCGATCCGAGGATCAGGAAATAAGGAGAGCTGAAGGAGATCTGGATCAGAAGTTCAGCGGAAGAGCAGAAGAGAGGGTGAACTGGAAAAGAGCAAAAGCCATTTGTCTCGGTAAGAAATGCTTCCAGTCTGAAGAGGGCCGGTAGGAGAGACACCAGAGAGGTAGGACATCATGGAGGACAGAGAATGGAGGACCATGGGCTGCTACGACAGCCGCTGAGTCACCCGGGATGTCACTCACCAGGGCGTGGAGAAAGTTTCCAAGTAGCTCATGTCTCTAGTGCTGAGCCTGACATATGTGTGGGCCTGTCAGAAAGGAAGCCAGAGATCCACACCAAACCTAGAGGTGCTTCTGGAGCCACCGTGACACAGCTCATATCCTCACCGCCCAGAGCCCCAGGAAGGGGACTCACTGGGAACAGGCCCTGCTTACAGGCAAGGCTTCACAAAACACCTCTGCTGAGGGCCTGTCTTCCTTTCGAGAGGAAGCCAGAGAGAGAGGTCAGGACACACCTGAGAAAGATGGCCGCAGAAGTGGGGGAGGAGAAGGATGCAGCCAGGGCAACAAGGCCCTTCATCCGAGACTCGGCCTCAGGCCTGCGTGCCCTCGCCAAGCGCTGGGGTGCTCTGTAGTGACAGTAAGGAAACTGCTGTCCCTTGTCTCACGATGCCTGTGATTCACCCCAACGGGAGAAACGGAGCATGTTTATCGCTCAACCTTCCTCATGCTCTTCTCAGGTGCTCCTCTGTTCTCCTCCAAGATAAATAATCCTCGCTCAGTTCATCGCCTGACTACCCTTTCAATCCATCCAGTTCCTTCCCACCCTCGAGAGCAGCAGCACTAAGCTCACTCGCCTTGTCTAGGGGAACAGCAGGAAGGCTGTCTCAGGCGCGTTCTGAGCACCTCGTGCAGGATGCCAGCTTGCAGTTTCACGGGTACCACCGCCCTCTGGCAGCCACTCAGCACACGATTTCCAGGTAGCTTTCTGGCTTGCTTGCACAAGGCCTTCCCGACTTGATCTATCCCACACTTTGCAATTCTTAAGAAACGCAGAAGCTTGGACCTCAGCATGCTGATTCTTGCCCCATTTCGAGGTGAAGTAACCCTGACTTCCTGCTCCGTTACCCAGAATTGTTCCTCGGTTCCAAAGTTGCTGTCCTGGGCAAATCTGCTCTCCTTTCCACGGTCCTTCAAACTCAGCAGAGTAAAACAAAACGGTCCTATCTGGGGTAGGAAACGCAGCCCTTCGCCATGGGTGCATGATACGGAAGCGGGAGCAGAGGCAGAAGCTTCCCATACCATTCAGAAGCTCCAGTAACCTCGATCCTCTGCTAGAAGCAAACCACTAAAGGATATCAGGGTTATCATGTGAGAAAACCTTGAAGAATCCAGAGAAAACTAAAGACAAAATTACAAACAGAAACAGTACAGGGAAGAGCATGCGATCCAGGAAAAACACAGTCCAACAAGCTGAGACGATAATACAGATACTGTTTCAAAGGCAAGTGAGAGGCGGCTTAGGTATCAAGGAGAAGAAAATTCCCATGTAGACTCAGCTTCATGTCTTAAGTCAGAACAGTCTAAATGAGCCCAGATCACTGCCAAGTTAAGAAAATACCAGAGAACAAAAATTATCCTAAATTTCAGACATGGGGGACATCTGTTTTTTGGTACCATTGGAGGACGAAACTTTAAGACATCAGTAGAATATGTTATATGAAATTTTCAAGTTTCTGTTTGGCTAGAGAGATGCTCAGTGGATATAAAGCTTTCCCCATTGCTTGAGGGTCTGAGTATGGATCCCTGACGTCCATGTAAACGCC